CTTGAAGCTCTGGTCTGTTTGTACAGCACACTGTAAAGCTGAAGCGGTAGTCCTGCTTCACGGCAGCCGGGACTGACAGCAGATTGAACTGCAGTAGTGGCGCGTACAGAACTCCATAAAGGGCGAGCGTCTTCTAGTTGCCTTTGGAGTCGGTGACTCTCCAGTACAACACGCTTCCAAGCCTTTCTATTGGGATCTGGTTGCCTGCCTCTCCAGAGTGATCGAATCACCACTCTGTGGAGATGTCACTGAACCAGTGGGATTCGTGCGTCACGTGGCGCGTACATCCAGAGTCGATGGTCCAGGTAGGGTCCAGTTGAACATTGGCTTTGGCTGCGAGGCTCACTGGTTGGTTGATCGACGTCGCAGCTGCGATCAAACCAACATCGTGACGGCCTTGATGAAACACCTTGCGACTGTTCTCGCAGTCATTGTCGCCGTCGTCGTCATTGTCGGATTCAAACGGACGACGTTTGCCTTGCTCACGACCGCGGCACTTGCCACGATTCGCATGATTGTGCTTCTCGCCCACGGCCACCACGGTGTTTGTCTCTGTGGTTGTTACCACCTCTGCTGTTGGAGCGTCCTTGCTTCTAGTTCTTGGGGGCCGTGGTAGAGATGCTCTCGAGTCACGATGTTTTTAAATGCAAAGTTGGCAGACAAGACAGTGCCAGCCTTCACTCGACCATCTCGAAGATCTTTCTGCAGGCCGCGACATTGACGAATGTTGTGACGTGGACGGTCACAGTAGGAGCATATATCCTCACCACGAGTGTCGTTACGCTGGGCAGAAGGTAGGTAGCCACTAGAGCACGCTCATTCTTGGTGTCGCTTGGCTCGGGTGCTCTCTTCGAAAGCGTGTATCGTTCCTGAGCTTGGATGTCGCGGACCTTGCCTTCGATACTCTGCTTGTGGTCTTCATACGGGATGTACTTCCTTGGCCCTTCCAGATTCGAAGATCGTTCTTCCAAGACTTGGGCATTGAGTGGAACAGATAGATTGACTTCTGGCTCTCGGTCATCACCGATTCGGTGGCTTCAGATGCGGCTTTCACTGCGTTCTCCTGCTTCAGAAAGAACTCAGTTAAATCTGAGACTTCCTCGTACTTGATCTCCATCAAGTAGTGCTGGATGAAGTAGGGGTCACCTTGGCACGCTGCGCCTCTGTACTTCTCGCAGATGTACGTGAAGATGCCACAAGGGCGTTTGCGGTCACCACTGGTTGAGCCTGAAACTGATACAAATCAGTGTTGGTCGCCATTGCCGCCTTGATCTTGAAGCTCTGGTCTGTCTGTACAGCACACTGTAAAGCTGAAGCGGTAGTCTTGCTTCACGGCAGCCGGGACTGACAGCAGATTGAACTGCAGTAGTGGCGCGTACAGAACTCCATAAAGGGCGAGCGTCTATTAGTTGCCTTTGGAGTCGGTGACTTCCAGTACAACACGTTCAAAGCCTTCTATTGGGATCTGGTTGCTGCCTCCCAGAGTGATCGATCCACCACTTGTGGAGATGTCACTGAACCAGTGGGATTCGTGCGTCACGTGGCGCGTACATCCAGAGTCGATGGTCCAGGTAGGGTCCAGTTGAACATTGGCTTTGGCTGCGAGGCTCACTGGTTGGTTGATCGACGTCGCAGCTGCGATCAAACCAACATCGTGACGGCCTTGATGAAACACCTTGCGACTGTTCTCGCAGTCATTGTCGCCGTCGTCGTCATTGTCGGATTCAAACGGACGACTGTTGCCTTGCTCACGACCGCGGCACTTGCCACGATTCGCATGATTGTGCTTCTCGCCACGGCCACCACGGTGTTTGTCTCTGTGGTTGTTACCACCTCTGCTGTTGGAGCGTCCTTGCTTCTAGTTCTTGGGGCCGTGGTAGGGATGCTCTCGAGTCACGATGTTCTTAAATGCAAAGTTGGCAGACAAGACAGTGCCAGCCTTCACTCGACCATCTCGAAGATCTTTCTGCAGGCCGCGACATTGACGAATGTTGTGACGTGGACGGTCACAGTAGGGGCATATATCCTCACCACGAGTGTCGTTACGCTGGGCAGAAGGTTCGATAGCCACTAGAGCACGCTCATTCTTGGTGTCGCTTGGCTCGGGTGCTCCCTTCGAAAGCGTGTATCGTTCCTGAGCTTGGATGTCGCGGACCTTGCCTTCGATACTCTGCTTGTGGTCTTCATACGGGATGTACTTCCTTGGCCCTTCCAGATTCGAAGATCGTTCTTCCAAGACTTGGGCGTTGAGTGGAACAGATAGATTGACTTCTGGCTCTCGGTCATCACCGATTCGGCGGCTTCAGATGCGGCTTTCATTGCGTTCTCTAGCTTCAGAAAGAACTCAGTTAAATCTGAGACTTAAGACTGACGAGGAGAGCGGGTATGCCACGATCAACGTCCGAGTTAACGAGTCGTGATAGCTTCCCATAACGTTCAACACCGGAGTTGCGCAGAATTTTACAGTTGCTTAACTATAACCTATAGACGAGCGGAGTGTTTCCCTTCTTTGTGCTTTCGCATGAGCCAGACGAAGATGTAGTAGACATTATCCGCGCCAGTGATTAGTGATAGAGGTCACGGATCTTGGGCAGCGTTATGCCTGTACGGAGTGAAGGAAAGAGAAACCACTCGGGGAGAAGACCGGAGCAAAGCCACTTGAGGGGAAGAAAGAAGATTCTGAAGTTATAGATTTTTAGGAGCTTACACTGTCCTCACTACCTAGGGCATCCAATCATTTGGTGTATCCAATCATCAACGCCCTGCACTCGTCCAATCATACTACTCGTCTAATCATCGGTAGCGCAATCAACGTACCATAATCAACGCGGGATCGTGTTGGACCTGCTCGGGCTACCGCTTTATGGATACTTACCGCCTGAAACCGGTACCCCTCAATACGCCTCTTAATGTGAGCACGTGTTGACTTCGAGCGCCGTCGTAATGCACTTGTGACGTGGCCCCGGAAGCGTCTTCGTCATGATGTGCGCCAGCAGCACAGACGTCTCAGTACCCAAGCTTTTACTTCACTGCGCTTGACCTCATCACGAATGTGATGGTACTTAATGTCGATGTGCTTGGCCCGACCGTGGTTCACTGGGCTCTTGGGCATCTTGACGCATGACTGGTTGTCTTCGAGAATCTTGAGTTCTGGTCGCGACTCCCCTGCCGCCGTCAAAATTTCGCAAAGTAGGCGGTGAACCCACTTGGCTTCTTGAATAGCCAAACTTAGCGCGATGTACTCTGCTTCGCTTGTTAACAACGACACACTTGACGGCGTATTGCTCCCCCAACTCACGGGTGAGCTCATCAAAAGAAACGTGTAGCCCGAAGTTCTCTTCAGTCAGCATAGCGTTGAGATGCTGAGCTTGAGCGAAGGTAGCTGTTTCGGGAGATGTGAATGTTGAACCCTCTGTCCTGCATGCGAGATCGATCAATACATTCTAGCAATCATCCCAACATGGAGCTCGGCTCTATGTGTCAAATACCTATCGGTAGTAGTTGCCGCTTATTGGATGCTTGACGCAGTAGCACATCTAGCTCCTAGTAGCGTGCGACGCTCCTTCTTCGCAGCGAGGACAAACAATTCAATCTCAAAGGAGCCGAAGTCGGTTGACTTCTTCTGGTAGGTAGTGTAGGCTGATGCAACTATTAGCGCTAAATTATCTGCTGTTAGAGCACCCCAATCTCACTGGCGTACTGTCGGACTTTGCGTAATATAGACGCTCATGTCGGGCCTGGTAGTATTAATGAGTACGTTCGCAGCCCCTCCACTACTCTCTCTTCAATATTACCGCGAAAAAGTTCGTAGTTGTCTATCTTGCTGCCGAAAGACAATCCAGGCTGTCTTAATACACTTATATTCTGCTGAACTTTGTAATCTCTCCTATTTGGACAAACCGTTGGCATAGCTAAGTGCTTGGACAAATGCCGCTGCATCAAAGCTTGCAGCTACTATTAATAGGTGGTGTAATTACGCTAGTAAATCAGACCACGCAGATGTTATTTCGAGCATGCTAAATAATTTAGATTTTTTTAGGCTGATAAATCGACGTACAAATCAGCCGATTAGAAGCGGAATAGCAAGAGATAAACATTTAGCTAGATATTAGGGACATGAATCTTTTTTCACCCACAGTAAAAGTTAATTCTGTATCTTCTTGAGTGGCCTACGATAATTAGGACCAACAGGTCATAAACTAGAGGCGTTGCTTTGGCTTGGGAGGACAGTTGATTATTTGGGTTGTTTTTGAAGAGAAAATGAAATATTTTCCGGATACACTAGAAATACAAAATTATGAATTTTAGAAATATTATACAGTAATATTTAACATTGCTGTTGGGACAGAGAAGCGATATATAGACGACCCAACGTGCAGCCGAGAGGGACAACTATTGCTTCATGGACATCGAGAAAAGGCGAGCTGCTGCAGCATGTTCAGCGAAGACAAGTGGGTCTAAGCGAAAGCAACAAGAATTGTATTTGGCCACTTGCTGATAGTTTTCTGGACAAGGTGGCGCTGACGAGTGACAAGCTGGAGATATTTTTTTGTGGAACATGGCTGTCACTTACCTACCTAGCGCGCTACAGACCTGGAGATATTACGATCCTGTGATAAATAAACGAAGGATCCACTTGTACTATTAATAGCCTTTAACCACTGCTGCAGATGTCATCCAGGTGCCTTATTCTTCAATAATGAGCTGCTTCTCGCATTAATTGATCACGCTTCCTAGCAGCATATAAACACATATCACAGAGCGTACGCTAAATATTTTGTACCCATAGGGTCGACTCGGGTAACAATCGCGCAATCCAATTAAACCGGAGGGGGGGGCACCGCAGTAATCCAGAGGATAACTGATTTACTCTACGAACGCTGTTGAACACACTAAGTTACTTGTATATATCAAGTATGTTTTATCGGTGCTGGAGTCGCAGGGCGAGTCGTAGACTGAAAATGCTTGAGGTCCGCGTTCCCGAACTCGGTGCGCCATCGTCACAGCATGCGGAAACCGCCGACTTCGGTGGGCATCCTCTGTAGCGCCAATGAATGTCCAACGTGGACAGTGCGAGTCGAACTACGACTCGTAGTCTACGAGCCACACGCAGCATGCCCATAAACCGAGCTCACTGTAGAGCCTACATGTACAGTTCACTGTACTACTGTACACAGTCTGTAGAGTGATCGCAGTATCATACCACGACGACGACCAGGATTTGGTATTACTGTAGGAGTCCAATTCCTGGTCGTTTAGAAGGCCTGGTCTGTCCCCATAGATTCATCCACATATCCGCCTCATCTCCTCCCATCTGGAATTAATCACTCGAATTCCGCCTCTCTCGTGCAGCAGCTGAACCACTTGACTGAAGCCTGAAGAAGTTTGGCCAGGCGCGCACACTTCCGAATATATTTGCATTCCGACATGGCTGGACCTCAGCTCCAATTCGCCACTCTGCTGCTCTTGCTCGTGGCCGTCGCCTGCGTCGGCTCCGCGTCGGCCGAGGCGCCGCTCGCGCCCGAGAAGCGACTGCTACGCCAGCAAATGCATCAGTCCATCGACTCCGTCACGCAGACCGCCCTCATTGAATCCAGCTCCGATAGCACCAGCGGTTCCAGCTCCGACAGCGCCAGTGACTCCAGCTCGGGGCCTGAGCAACACGCCGCCACGATCAACACGGCAGCCTCGGCAGCAGAAGCGACCGGAACGCACCACGAGGGCCCTACCACGATGTCTTTCGTGGGTCCCACCATAGCCGGCGTGTTGGCCATTGCTCTCATCGGTGCTGTCGTTACCTTCAAGAACCGCATGGGCAAGTGAGATCTCCCGTCTTTTAAAAGGCGGCCAACTAACTAAGCGAGCCATTACCTCTCCTGTTTAACAATAAAGGAATATATATGTGTTTCGAAATGGCCTGCCTCCTGACTATGCATGCTCTACTGCACGCGCTCTAGAACGGATTAATCTTTCGAGCCACGCGCACGAGCAGCTTGGGGTAGTACCGCTTCTCCTGCGGCCGCGCACCCAACTCGTAGCGCGGCTTGCCCGTAACCGGATCGATCGGCGCTTGCGCCTTCAGCGCGGCCATCACGTCGTCGAGCAGGAAATCGTCGCCGACAATAGGGTCCTCGATGATCGGGTCTGTGTGCGTCTTGCCCTCGAAAAACCGCGTGGATACGGGGATGTTACAAGCCTGGAGTGCCGCTGTCAGCTGCTCTGACGACCGATAGCTCACCGTCTTGTCGGCAGTGCCGTGGAACAGGAAGCACGGCGGGAAGTCATCCACCAGCGTGTGGCGTGTTCGCAACGGCAGCTCACTCAGCGCTAATAACCGCAAGGACGGCGAATAGTACGCCAACCGGTGCGCCATTATACGCTCTACCACCGCGCGGTCGAAGCCGTGGCGGTGGAAAGTAGCAATACTAGCCTCCATATTATACGGTCCGGAGATGCCGCTATAGCTGCGAACCTGCCGCAGGTTCCACGTGATCGGCTGTGCTAGTGGTGACAGGCTCTCGATACTTTCGCAGTCCGACGTGTTGCCCATTCCACCAAGGCTGCTACTTGGCGACGCAGCAGAGTTTGATGAAACGTTGCGCTTCTTCTCGACTTGTTCTAGTAATGTGCACATGGCAAGATGCGCGCCGGCCGACTGACCGATGAGATGGACGTTCTCGCGATCTCCACCGAAGAGGTGAATGTTGTCAAAGACCCACTGCATAGCACGCGTGGCATCCTCGACCATATCGGGAACCACACCCTGGGGAAAATTACGGTAGTCGGGCATGACCACCACCACTCCGAGCGATGCCAGCACGCGTCCCATAAGCGCGCCCCACGCCTTATAACCGATGATCCAGGCTCCTCCAGACACAAACACGACGACAGGATACCTCGCCTCTGTGAAGCTCGCACTGCCAGTGCTGGTGACACTGGCACTGCGCGACTTAGTCGGGGAGGACGACCCGTCTGCCTCCTTTTGCATTTGTGGTACCGTGTACACATCCAGCAGGTTGCGTCGATTGAGTCCGTAGATAATATTCTTGTGCACGTTCTCATCGAAAAACCAGTAGATCGCGACTTTTACGATCGGGAGTAGCAACAGGAAGACGAATGAGATCAGACGCAGCGCGCACAGGATCCAGCGCTTGGACATGCGCAGCGCCCAGATCAGCTGCACCGCGAGCTTGGTGATGAGCCAGCTCTGCTCGGCCACGACTTCCACAACCTCTGCGCCTGACGAGACCGCAGCCTGGAGAACAGAGCCATTGGACTCGGGGTCCAATACAAGGTTTTTGCTATGCGGTGGGCGAGGCACTACCGATCCATTGGAGCTCAATAGAGAGGTGTGCAGCGAGCTACCGCTGCCGGTGGACTCGAGAGGCGGGTGCAACGCTTCCTCATCCTCCAAATAGCGGCCCAGCTGCGACGTGGAGGCGGCGTCCAGCATGGAGAAGGTGCGAACTTTGGGAATCAACAGCTTCTCACCCATATCCGTAGTGGCATTAACGTTGACGTCTGCGTCTTCATCCGCCTTGTCACCATTGGCCATTTGCTGGTGGTGGTGCATCTCAAACAATAGCAGCTCCTGCGGCTCTGTCATAAGAGTATCATCAACACCCACGACGCCGTCCGGTTTCAACTGCGGATGCTTCTGCTGCTCGTGTGCGGCCTCGCTTGGAGTTGCGAGGCGCTTGCCAGTCGCCATGTTGGACTCGTCTAGTGGAAATGGAAGCCAATTCTGGAATGCTACCGGTAAGGCTGGTGCTTGCAGCTGCAAATAGTACGCCAATGCAGTGTACATGTAGTGTTAGGTGACAGTATAATTGGCAGCATTCAGTATGTCATGCGGCGAATCGCGAGGGGGGTTGAACGTACCGACAGTGATGTAAAGGTACAGTACTGTACGTAGCAGCTTGATGGCGAGCGATCACCGACCGAAATGGGCAAAGTTTCAGATGACATACGCGTCGTACTTAAGCGGCGAGTCCAGTATGTTGAGACATGGGATAAGTCCGGCGCGATCCCAGCATGGCTGAATATTGTCAACATGTTGGATCTTCACTAAGCACCAATTAGCACATCGAGAAGTTCTCGACGAGAACTACGCTTCTGGTGATGCAGTGAAGTTGCCGTTGCAAATGCTACTTCCTGTCACCGTCCAGTGTACCACGTTCAACTGTCGAAATGGCATCACGCTCGTCTACGAACTCTGCTACATGTAATTATAATAGGCACTTGTTGCTGTTCCAACCTGGCACATATGAGACGAGACTAATAATCCAGACTGTTCCAGACGAGGAAACGTTAGGAACACACGTAGAAATCTGACCAGCACAACAATGCAGGGCAGATTTGAACACAAATAGACAGAAACCAAACCGGAATTGCGTCCCTTTTAACTGCACAGCGCTTGCAGGTTGATGCTGCGCAGTACCTGAAGTACTGCTAACAATTCTGAAGTAACTGCCAAAAGTAGCATTTATTTGAAATTTCAAAGATTCTTTTGAGATCGTCATATCCATACACTTAATTCCGGAATCTCCAGCACCGCTCAGTGCTCAGCCGTGCTCCAGAAGTTGCAAAGTTGATATGGTGGGGCTTAGCGCAGCTTCCCCCGGAGACGCTTCGCCCTGGTGATGTACTCGAGTATTACTCGCAGGAGTTTGTCTGTGGAGATCGCCGCGGGCATCGAGTGGAAATCGTCTTGAAGATCTCTGGGGCGCGCAGTGATCCGTATCCAGTCGCGCTGGACACACAGGAGACGCTTTCCCTGACGAACATGGTGCGCCGCCGCTTTGACGTCGCTCGCACCGCGCTCCTCATTGACAACGTTCGTTGGCGCAAGCTACGCTCCTTTAATCTGGTTCCGGGGGTGTATAAGGCACTAACGAGGGCCACACGCCTTTGCCAGGCCCTCAAGGCGCATCTAGATGAGACAAATGCCTCCACAGGAGCAATAGTAAACGCTGAGGGCGAGAAGGGCTCGCGACATCAACACCTCTTTGTTCGTGAAGCTGCGAACGATGACACAGCGCCGCGACAATCCAAACCATCCAGCGTGACCGTTGTTTCGCCGGAGCTTTCACCGATCAGCCCTATAGGTGCAGGAGCGTTAGACGCAGACGTTCAACCCGAGGGTTTGGTGGAAAATACCCTCGAGAGGCCAGTACACACGGTCGTAGATCTCACAGCAGACGGCACCGACCAAGAGATTGAAGTCGATGGAACGGAGGGCGCGGAGGCGGCTGAAGGCTACGTTTGCGGCGAATACGGCTCGTTGGCGTCGCACAACAAGTTGCGGCGCATGGAGTTCGTCACTGAGTCTGAAGTCTCTGAGTCTGATGGCGACCTGGAGGCTGCAAATGAAAGAAAGGAGGTCTCGGACACCGGCCCCTGTCTGCATTCACCTCAAAACCCTGACATCGTCCTCACACCCGTGCGGGCGAGGGAGATGGGTAAACACATATGCGACTTTTCTGTCCCTGAGGTGTATTACGCCTTCTGACAATTTATGCTT